TGGCGGAAGATTCATTCATACGTTGGGTGGTGGAGAACGAAGGGCCGATGAATCCGGTAAGCACGTAACGTATCTCTGGAAACTTTTTTTTTTTTTTTTGGAGAATCTCTGAACAAATGAGACGGAATCCTCCGCTTGAACATGGAAAGATACATTGCCATATATGGGCCTCGCTGCACTACCCTGGAAATCTGCAAAACGAGAGTGAATCTTGCGTTAGAATATGGAAAGATACACCGCCAATATTTTTGTCTTTTGTGCATGTTGAGAGTAGTGCAGCGAGGCCCTATGTCTTGTTCTGCATGTCGAGAGTTGTGCAGCGAGCCCGTTGGTGAACATTACCGTTGAGGTTCTGACAGGCTGGACGCGCCGGGCTTCACTCGTGCAAAGAAATTCTGATGTTCTTCCTTAAAAAAAAAAATTCAGCTCCCCCCCCTTTTTTTTCCGGGGCCCCGCGCGGCCTTAAATTGTTGTTGTTTTTTTTTTTTGTTTCTTGACGCGACATCCCACTTGAGCCTACAACACCCCTCCCCAACTTTTTTTTTTTTTGGCCGACCCCTTAKTTTCGGGGTGCGCCGCACCCCGTGCGCGCGCGTCGTGCGCGGTGCGGCGCACGTGCGGGATGCCGCGCACCTCGATGCGCCGCAAGTATGATCTGAACTGTGTTTTTGGCCACGATATCTCTGAGCTTTGTGTGGGCGCTCATCCCCAGTGTGATTAACATCTGTTTTCATGCATGCTGAGAAAGAAGAAGATGAGTCTGATGTGCCCGTTTGGGGTTGACTTGGGAGTCTTGACATTTCAGAGATTTGACGGACTGCCTCTGCTGACTTCGAGAGGTCAAGTTGACTCTTCGAGACCTAACCTAGTTACGACCTACTGACCTTTCAGAGGATGTATGGCCAGTTGACCTTTCGAAAGGTCAACTGTAAACTTGCCTTTTGGGTACACCTTCGAATGACCCTAAGACTTCTAAGCAACAGACCTATGGATCAAATCCACACGACCCGGGCTTCACACACAAGGCATTTAGACACGGGTTTGGGGACAGGTCGTGGGTCCAAGGCACACAGGGTCAACGAACAACACAAACGTACTGTACACTGGGTTGGGGAAAGTCTGGGGATCGAGCCCCGGTATCTGCAATTGTTGCACGAACTGGGTGAAACCCTTTCATTGGAGAAGGATCCCATTTTTACTACTCCTGTCTCACTTCCATTCCTCTCCAACCCTCCTCCGTCCGTTCCCTCCTCCCTCTCTCCCCTCTTTCCCCTCTTTCCCCTCTCCCCTCTTTCCTCTCTTTCCCCTCTCCCCTCTTTCCCCTCTTTCCGCTCTTCCCACTCTTTCCCCTCCCCCATCCGCTCCTCCTCCTCTGTCCCCTCCCGTCATTATCCTTGTTACCCTCCTCCGCTCCTCTCTTCCCTACTTGTCTTCCCCCACTTCCTCGCCCCACGTACTGGCACCGTTTTGTATTGTTTTGTTAGGCAGTTTCCTAGAATCGAGTTGTATTGCAGCTAGATGGCCTGTTGCTATTGTCTGAGCCAATTTTGTAACCCTGTTCTTCACTCCCACCCTTCCCATGGGGTCCCACCAGTTGCTTTTCTTTTCTTGTTTCAGTTAACCCTTGACTAGAACTGCTGCTCCGATGTCTGATCCGTTTGGGTCCACTAGTACTGGTGTCCTTGCAGTCTTTTATCTTTTGTTTGCTATGAGCCATTTGACCTAATGGCGACTGTCGGTACATTATCACATTTTATGGGGTGCGTTGGTGTGTCGCTCAAGTGTGGGTGTA